AGAACAAAAGATTATATGCTCACATACAGGAGGTCAGACCAGTTGGAGATCGCTGAGTTTTCTGACTTAGATTTTGCAGGATGTCAAGAATTTGTAGCATGCTATGATGCATCAAATCATGGAATATGGCTGAGAAATTTTGTCACAGGGCTGCAAATTGTGAAAGGCATTGAAAGACCACTTAAGTTATATTGTGATAACAAATCAGCTGTATTATTAAGGAAAGAGTACAAAGTGGACAGATTTTCATAGAACACTTAAGGACAAACTTCATGATAGCAGATCCTCTAACTAAAGGACTTTCGCCCAAGGTCTTTCATGAGCATGTTTCTCACATGGGTGTTTTACAGTTTGAGGAATTTTTGGTTTAGTAGGAGTTAGTCACTTTCATATATTTTATGTTCTATGTTTAATTTTATATATGTATACATTGATTTTTGGACATATTTAGTTATCTATAGATATGCAGTTTTTTCGTTCATTCATTACACTTTGTACATTAAGGATATTATATCGATCTCGATAAGTTAAAATTTGGACCAGTTGAAAATAGACGTGTACAGATCACCTTCACGTAATTTTTCATGCTACACATTTCATGATGAATCCATGTCATTTGATTATGTTAGGATGAATAATCATTGTTGGTTTTAGTTGCGATGATGCAATGAAAAGCTGATTTGGTTCTATATCCTGATATGATCAATGGACAGGACTTTTGGAATATGCTAAAGGAATATAATGGCAATTTTGAGCTCATAAAGTTTAACACATTTGTAAGGTTGCAAGGACATATATATTTGTGACCAGTGGAAGATTGTTGACAAAATTTGGGTCATGTATATATATGATACATAATTTAAATGTGTTAGGGTCATTATTTATTAAGCCAAATAATAAAGTGATCTGACTAAATTAAAGTTTTGGCTAAAAGCATATATCATGAAAATAAAATTGTGTAGAGACCATAGAGTAATTTATAATTTAATGAGGGGTCAAATTGGAAATACTAAAACTTAAGTAATTAACCTAATTCTTATTATTTAAGGGGTCATGGTCCCCTTCTGGGAGCACACACACAGAACGTAAATCTCAGTTCCCGTTCCTTTCTTTCTATCCCCATCAAGAGAGAAAATCAAGAGGGAAATACAGGTGCTCTTCAGGTGGAAGACCATAAGATCAATATAGTGCTCTACAAAGACATCATTATTGTGGCTAATTCAGGTACGCTTTCGCATTCAGTTTACAACATATTTATCAGTATGAGATTACGTTTATGTTTGATCGTTAGAATCAAAATCAGGATTATTATTATAATTATTATAAGTCAATTATCTACTGTATCTATTCCTAACAGTGTGCAGGAAGCTTTAGCTGACTCCAGGTGGAAGGATGCTATGAATGAGGAGATGAGATCCTTGTAAAGAAATAAAACATGGAAATTAGTAGATTGTCCAGTTGGAAAGAAACCAGTAGGATGTCGATGGGTGTATACTATGAAATTTAATGCAGATGGCACAATTGAGAGATTCAAAGCTAGATTAGTGGCAAAGGGGTACACACAAGCATATGGAATAAATTACACTGAAATGTTTGCTCCCGTAGCCAAAATTAGTACAGTTCGAGTATTGTTATCTCTAGCTATAAACCTTGATTGGTCCTTACAACAATTTGACGTAAAAAATGTCTTCTTACACGGGGAATTGTCTGAAGAAGTTTATATGGAGCTACCAGAAGGATGTGAGATCCCGAATACACATAGCAAGAAGGTATGCAAGTTGAAGAAATCATTGTATGGACTAAAACAATCGCCAAGAGCATGGTTTGGTAGATTCACCAAGTCAATGCTTGCTTTTGGATACCAACAGAGCAACCAAGATCATACCTTGTTTCTAAAGAAAAAGGAAGAAAAGATTACAATTCTTATTATCTATATTGATGACATGATAGTTACGGGAAACGATCTAGAGGAACGTAAGACATTGAAAGAGTACTTGACAAAGGAATTCGAGATGAAGGATATTGGTCCTTTGAAATATTTTCTTGGAATTGAGGTCTCAAGATCAAAGTCAAGTATTTTTCTCTCAACGAAAATATGCATTGAATTTACTAAAAGAAACTGGAATGATAGCATGCAAACCAGCAAATTCTCCAATTGAAGAGGGATTGAAGCTGTGCATTGAAGAAGATCAAACTCTAACTAACAAGGGAAGATATCAGAGACTTGTAGGGAGATTGATGTATCTCTCACACACTAGGCCAGATTTAGCTTATGCTCTTAGTGTGGTTAGCCAGTTCATGCACAATCCAGGTGAAAAACACATGGACGTTATTATACGGATTTTAAGGTATATAAAAGTTGCTCCTGGAAAAGGAGTTATGTTCAAGAAGAACTCCAACTACAAAGATGTGATGGTTTATACTGATGCAGATTGGGCAGGTGCTCTTGATGATAGAAGATCAACCTCTGGATACTTTACATTTGTAGGAGGTAATCTTGTCACATGGAAAAGCAAGAAGTAGAAAGTTGTAGTTAGATCCAGTGCAGAAGCTGAACTTAGAGGAATGGTTCTTGAACTTTGTGAATGTTTGTGACTCAGACTACATCTCCAAGATTTAGGGTATGCAGATACACATCCCATTCAGTTGTATTGTGATAATAAAGTTGCGCGCGACATTGCTCACAACCCTGTCCAACATGATCGGATGAAGTATGTGGAGGTTGATAGATTTTTTATCAAGGAAAAACTTGATAAAAATATGTTGGAATTGTCAAATATTCGATCTGAAGATCAGTTGGCAGACATTCTTACAAAAACTGTGACAAATCAGAATTTTATGAGATTATTGGACAAGTTGGGAATGTATGACATCTATTTACCAATTTGAGGGGGAGTGTTAGGATAAAGATATTTTATTAGCTAAATTATAGGTTTGTATAGCAGTACAAAATATTGTATAATCAGAACTTCCTATATTTAGTCCTGATTTGTAAGATTAAAATACTATAAGATCATAGTATATGTGTACAAAAATAATATGAATAAAAAATATAGAATGAATTCTATGTATTTCAATTAATAAATACCAATTGAGAAAATGTGGGCAGCAAATAATTAATATAATTTACACATATAGGAGACCATGAGTGATGATTAATAAATGACATCGTATAGAAATATTCTTACTTCTTCTTTTTTTATCATTGTTAGGTAATTGATGAAAAATATTGTAAAAAGTCAAATATTTTCATATCCTGATTATTTTTAACGTTGAGAACATTATATTTCCATAGAACTCGCAAATTTTATTTTATTATTACCACTTAAATATCGACGTATAAAACTTGAAGGGTCCATCATATTTTGTAATCTGTAACAGACTCCTCACTTTTTGACAGAGAGACTTATTGTTAATAGTTTATAAGGATGAATAATAATAATCATCATTATTATCGTCATTGATCAAAAAGTTATTTAATTTTTAAAAAATTGAAAGATCAAATATGTAACTAAAATGTTATTAAGACTAAAACTGTACACTTCTGTAAGAATCAACAACTAATAAACAACAAATTTGAATATCTGTATTTTAATTACGTAATTCATAATTAATTTACCACCGAACTCATGCATCAATTTTAACTTATAATCTCGAATTTGAATTTTTAATAAACTAAAAAAAAAATCACCGATAATAATCTTACCCTATTAAAAAATGGAATGCCACCAAGTTAGTAGTTTCTCTCTATCTCTCTCTCCACGTATAACTGATTTAACGTGACTTGGACTTGTTCATGAAAGGTTTATATTTCCAATCAATTGCTTGATCTAATGCATCAAATAATGTAGCAAGCACTATTCTAATGTAAGCCATTGACAACAAATCCAGCTCTGATAAGAACATGTTATTTTGTAATTTCATGATTCGGACTATTTTATGTTTACTTTATCTGTATTTTAATTACAAGACCCCGTCTCGGCTGAAATAAATAAAAAAAATAAAAAAATTGGAGTAACTTGCAGATTACGATGTGCAAAATCTGTGGACCCAAAGCTTTGACAAATTTATCATTTTATTCAATTTATTTCCTTGAAAATCAAAAGATTGGACGATATATAACACTTGCTTTATAGTATGATTTTAAAAGTAAATAAAAAAAAAAATACAAGCCAGAAGTCAAATTATTTGGTACTCAAAAAGCCTAGAAACAACTTGTCTCAAACAGAATCACTTAAAAGTTGAAGGTATTCACTAAATGGACAAACACCTTGTTAATCACAACAGAAATCAAGCAAATGTCTGAAATATAGCTAAATTTGCAGAAAAGCAATATAACAGTAACGTGTCCTGTTGATAGTATCAATGGAATGGAAGTTTCTAACTGTGGAAGAACACTGTTATGGTAGTAGACACAGAAATGACCAACAGAGAAAATGAAAGAAGAGAGAAAGAGATTTCAATCATAAATATCCTAACTATTTTGTCAAAATGAAATGCTTCACCCACAAATTCGATTTCTTGACTCGCATACCCTTCTCCTTTCAACCAATTCAGCATCAGTTTCCACGTGGCCATTTCTAACAGCTGTAATAGAATTGACGGTAAATGTGCACAAGTTTGAAAGGAGAACAGTCAAACTGATATTAAGATGTGTACCACAAAAGCTATATAATACCAGCATACCGAGAGTCCATCTCAACAGATCAGAAGATTAACTATAGAACCAAGATTACAGTAATAACTAGTTTTAAACTATATCTCTGACTGCTCGAAATACAGGTAAGTGTATAACATGCCACCCATATAAAAAAAACTGGAAGGCAATGTAATATGTTACCTTGGGGAAGTAACTTCTTGCCGACAACAAATAAAAGAATCATTCGAAGAATCAGCAGTTACTACACAATTCACAACATTAGACCAGAGGTCATCAGATTTTCTTGTAATGATGGCAGTGATACTAAATATGCCTAAAGAACAAGAGACCAAGGCTGGTTTCAAGGGTGCTGATATAGGTGGTACAACAGTCCTGCCTCTGCTATCACTCGGGCAGTCCTAAACCGAATGTCACCAACAGAATTTAATCTGGCTCGAAAAATATTTCCATGAGACATTTGTCTTACAAAACGAGTAAACTGATCCCAATTTCGGGATTCAAACAATCTTTTGTCCATTCTTACAAAGTTGAATGAAAAAGGTCGCTTCTCGATCCCCTCCGAGTAAAATTTTGACATCTTTAGCACCTGGGTGAATGCACCATCATCCAAATTAGTTGAAAAATTTTGACCTTCAAGTGATAGGTCATAGAGCCTAGCAGCCAGTAAAAGCTGTCTAAGAAAACCTTCAGGGCTACCATCTGGATTGATCTTCTGCATTACTTCATCTTGCATTTCAAAACAAGAGCAACAAATCGAGAATCCATATTTACTAAACATGCGAGTAATGGGTAAGTATCCATTCCTGTTAAAAGTATTATAATAGCCAGCTGTTAACTCTGATGGATGAGATTGTGTGACATAGTGCCAGTGAATGGCAGCCACTTTTGCTGATATATGGACCTCGGTACCCCTAAATATAGTTTCAGCTTCCCTACAAATCCTTTCCCCATGCAGCAGCAACATATCTGAGTACCATTCAAGGAAAAATTTACCATATGGTGTGTCCCAAGAGCCACCATCACTTTTGAAAAAATCAGTATGGTCAGGATTTTGCATCAAACTACCAGTACCAAATGGACCACCATTTCCCCATTCACGCATTCCGATATTTCTTGCAGAGGCATTCAGAGAAGCAAGCATATACTGGCAGGTGGCAAGCAAGACAAAAAAAAAGTTAAAAACGATACTAATCACTAAGTTTCCCAGAATATAGAGCAACAAGTCTAAAACTAAACAAACTGCAAACTAATGCCTAAATCTAAATCTTCAACATACCTTATCATGGCACTGAAACTCTCCAAGTTCATGAGACCATGCCAAATTTGGGTCTTGTAAAGAGAATGAAGGATATCTTAGTTCACCACCAGGACCCATGCCAATCTGTACGCCCTACAAAACGAGCAGAGCAACAAACATTACAACAAAAATCAGATAATAGTATCAGGGAATTCAAATCATCATTGAATTGTAACATCCCAAAATCAGCATAGAACCTTACTGTAATGATAACACCAAGCAAAGACCTGAAATTGTTCCTAAAATCCCTCATAAAATCAGCATACACTTGAATAGGAGAACGCCCCCGTAGCACAGGAAGAATATCACATCCAAGGGAAATGTATTCAATATTTCTTCTTCCAAAGCGGTCACAATAAGCTAACTCTACATCTCTCTGTATCTCATCAAGCACCCATAGAGGAAGCGGTATCCTACACAAGGGGGACAAACTTCCAGAGTATGAGGCTCATGACTAGGAAACATTACCTACCTACAAAAATAGTAATAATAATTCAAAATAAACCAAATAAACTCTACTTAGATCAACACAACCCAGGTCAAATGTCAATACAGTATTGAATAAAAATATTACACACCAGAATTATCATTTTCCCATACTAATACTATTAAGTCACATTATAGGGAAAAAATCACTTTTGTGCCTGGACATGCTTCAACTCCAAAAGCTAGCTCTAAGATAAGGGTCGTTTCTTGTTTATATATACTATTTAGTCATATCACCAGTCAAAGTGATATTTCTCGCACATTACCTCACACCCTGGACTAGACATGACCTTTAGACATTTTGAGCTTGACGTTTGTAGCACTAGATAACTATAATTGATCCGATAAGTCCAACAACAATATCACAATAAGTTCTGAAATCCTCTTAAAATTTGTCAAAACAACTCATCCATATATTCAGATATCATCTTAGAATTTGAGTGTAAAACTAACTCGGTAACAAAAGCTAGCTTATAAAGTAAGACTTATCCTCAAGGTGTATACACTATATTGTTCATAATATGGCCAATATGGGGATCCAATTTCCACATACCAATCGGGATCATCGGGTCCCGCGCCATGCTGATGAAATGCGAGAACCGCTCGGACCTTAAGGCCACACTTGCATGCCATCGCGACGAGTTCCTCGTACCCTCTCCAATCGTAAAACCTAGGTTTGTTCTTCTCGACCAGGCCCCACCAAATCTCGATTACCACGCCTTCGACGCCGGCCGAGACGAGCGCCTTGAGCGAGAACAACATCGCCTTGGGCCTCGCGACGCGGCCGCCCTCCCGGCTGACGGAGTTTACCGGCAGCGTGACGAACACCGGCGAGCCGCGGCGGCGGCGTTGTGGCGAGAAGTCGTGGTGCAGCTCGTAGGCGATGTCGCCGCCGTTATCCGGCGAGAGGGGGCCGCCGGCGCCGGAGAACTTGGAGGAGTTGAGGCGCGAAGAGACTGCATGGCGGCGGCGGCGGAAGGTGACGCGGCAGGGTAAGCGAGTGAGGAGAGTGAAATCGGAGTGGGTGGAGACGAAGGAGGGGGAGAAACTGGCTGTGGATTGGGAGAGGATGGCCATTGATTGGGAATGGAAGGATTAGGGTTTGGGAGATAGTGCGAGTGTATTGTTGAGAGTGTCAGTTACATAGAGAAGAGAGGGAACACAGTGATGAGGTGAGGAATGCATACTACACTGTACTCTTCAACAACCAGGATGTGGAGGAGAGTTTACATGCCATTTTCATTTTTTAAAAATCCTTTTTCTTATTTTTCTTCATCCTTCAATAAATAAAATAACAAGCATAGGAGTTTATTATTATGAGTGTTAAAAAATACACATATCAAAAAATAACTATTTTATAAATTAAGAAATTTATAAAAAATATCAATTTCTAATCTGCATCCCTCTTTCAACTAATTAACACAACTTTAACTAATTAACACAACTTAAAAAGTTGTGTTAAATTGATTAAAAATAATAATTTTATCCAATTTATTTTGTTATTCCATATATATAGTTGCATACTTAAAGTTAAACTAATTGGAAAAACCTAATAAGCATGATTAGTATTGCTTATATTTTGAAATCACGTTGAAAGAGAGAAACTTTATGATTTATTTCAAAATATATTTTTAAAAAACTAATTAAAAGAATATTCATTTAAAAAATCTTATAAAAAGAGTGACAGACAATTATATATATATATATATATATATATAAAGGTTTTTAAATTTTATTAATCTTGTTTTTTGTTCAAGTTATTTAAAATAAATTAATATTTAATCTTTTAAAAATATGTAAAAGAAAATATTTTAAATTTATTTTTTATAATAATCTTTACTATCATAACATTGAAAATAGGATTAAATTTGTATATTTTAAATTTTGATAACTAAATAATTATTTTAATAGTATAAAATCCAAAGATAAGTTTATCCAAAATTACAAGATTTAAAAACACACTTTTTCTTTAAAATAATAAATTAAATTACATTATATACAAATATTAGTATTATTTTTTTTGTTACTGAACTTAACAAGTGTATTGTGTCTTATACAACCATTAACAAAAATGTACTGCAAATAATAAGTAATAAGTGTTCTGCAAAAATAATACACCACTAATTATTTTATTGAGATAAGGGTTTGCCTCAGAGAAAGGCACACCATAAACCTTAACCATGAGTTACATGTAGAGTTGCATCTCTATTTGTATAGCTACTTGCTTTTTATTTTACTTTACAATTTTTTTTTAAACAAAATAAGTATTTTTATTAAAATAGGTTTCAATTCAATCATATTTGCACAACAACCCCACATTATATCAAGTTTACTAAAATTTTAATAACATAATGCTTAATTTACCATTTTTCATTCAGTAAATCAAGCTTAATAACTTTGTTTAAAAAACATCAAATAAATTGAATTTTAAGCATAATACATACTCTTAAATACAAGAAACCGTTGCTTGGAATATAGTATCTGATTTACTAAAATTTGATATACATAAATATATAAAAATTTCATCCAGCAACTTTAACATTCAAAATTATATCTTCATGAAAATTGACTAAAAAAAAGCCAATAAGTTATAAACGATATCAGAATTTCAGCTCTTTCCAACCAATTGTTCTCTTTTTATATCGAATAAATCCATTACAAAATTATAAATTAAATAAAATTATAATTTCATTTTAAATTAACTAAAACCAAGCTTCATGCAATGACAGTACAAGAATGTTTATTGCATGTAATCAAATCATCTAAGAACTATTAAAATAATAATTATAAAAACAATTAATGTATCATTCATCTCAATCTATACACACTCATTCCGCAATATCCTAGGACAATAAAATATGACAGTTGTCTTCAAGTTGAAGACCCGAACCAGAACCACCTTGTTACAACAATATGCACACTACAACAATTTGGTTACGACATTTTAGTCATGTAATGACCATTAAAACGACCACATCAGAATAAATACTCGCCACTAAATGTTTAGGCCTTGCCAGGAAACACACAAGCTTCTACCCCATTCAGATTATGTTAGACAGCGAATAAGAAACCAAAGATGCGACATTAAATAATGTAATGAACTCAAGAATAAAAACTTGGATGCGGGTGACAAAAAATTATTTGAATAATTTCAAGGAACCGCTAAAATATGTTGCATTACCTATCCCAAACACATGGATGGACTAAGATGATTGTTTCACTCTACAGCCAATAAAAGTAAAAGGAAAAGAAAAAAAGTAAAGGACATAGTATCTAGACCACCATAGACTCCAAAACATTCAATATGCAACTCCAATATTGACGGTATTGGCAGATCTATATCTTTTCTTGCTCCTCCCCAATTTCACCCTGTTTCTCCTCCTGTACGTAAAAACCGCCCCTTCTCTGCCAAGTTAGCAGAAAGATTGGTCATCACCCACCGACTTCCTCCATAGCAATGCAGAACAATAAATTTAGAAAAATAAAAATGAAAAAGCAGACTCCATGTTGCTGACATATAATGCAGACAGCCAAAGGACCGAACACCTGTGCCCAAAAATGGTGATGACCCGACTCATGATATGCAGTTGAGACCCCCACGCAACAAATGCAGATGTATGCAAGAACTAGAAGCCATTAAATAGCAACGTCCTCAAAATGAAATTGCTCTACTAATTGCCAACTTGGCCCATTCGGCAGACTCCTTAATCAAATGATCATCAGATGATAAACACTCTTTGAGGAAGTCTTTGCTAGACACAGATTGCTGAATCAAGGGACCAGCATTACTACCCAAAGTATCCGCTAAATCTCCAAGCACACCAATTGCTGTCTTCGTCACAACATCATCCCTGAAAAGACAAGAGGCACCAATAAATAAATACATAGCAAACAATCCATAAAATTTGAAGATTCTAAATTCACAATCCGACAGGGTAAGAAAATACAGAAATTTACTTACATGTCCTTCTCCATGTACAAACTATCCAAGAATTGCAGCACGTGAGGAGCATAAGGCATCAAAAGCTGGGTTTTTGGGGAACCTTTAAACCCTTGAAAGATCCCTGAGTATGCCTCCAAGATTCCATTTCTCAAAGAATTTGTGTATTCTGTCATGTCATCATCAGCTCCAGCAGTGTGAGCAGAGAGCTCTGCGGCACTTTGAAGCATAGGCATGGCATATAATAGGTACTTCTCAAAATTTTCTCCAATTGCCAAGGCAATGTCTCCAAAACATGAAAAAATGGGAGGCTTAACAGACCTATGCAACTGATTGCTGGACAAATCCTTAAGAAGTTGGGTCATTATCCCATCACAATAAGGCAGTATTTTCTCCTCCAAGGCTCTGCATACATCACCAACCACACCCACTGTGATAGCACAAACCTGATAGTCCTCAAAATTTTGGAGACCCATCTCCAAATACTTGTAAAATTCTGTCATGTATTTTGCAAAATCAGCTCCAGTTGAATACGCCAAAGCTCCAATGGCAAGCATAGCCTCTTCATGAGCTGTTGCACTTCTAGAAGCAAACACTCTCAAAAACAAACTCATTATTTGGTCAGCATACTGCATGAAGTGATATTTCGTTGGTTCAGAAGATCCCAACTTCTGTATGATAACCTGCAAGCAACCACATAAAAGACCTTGTAACTCATTCTGCTTCTCGTCAGATGAGACCTTCTGATTCTCCAGAGTCTGATGGAGCTCCAACATGATGACGGGAACAAGCTGTACCACCATTGGAGCTGTTTCATCATTAGAACACCTCACCACTTCATTTAAGGCTTCATAGGCTGCTGTTCTAAGGCGGGATTCTCCAGCATCCTCTCTGTGAGTTACAGTGAGGAGATCACGAACAATTTCTTCAAAGAAAGGGGTCAAGGGAGAGGATGCAGGGCCAGCATCCTCATACCCTTGGGCAAGAAAATAAAGAGCACCACAAGCCTTCTCAGCAACATTTGGAACATCTTTCATACTCTGAAGCAGCACAGTAATGATCTGTTGGCAGTTTGCCGGAGTGATAATGGGAGTATCCAGAGCTGATCCATGCAAAAATTCAAACATTCGTCCAAGAGTCCATGCAGTCGTATCCTTCACATGATTATTTGGATCTTTCATCAACGCAGACAGCATGAAATTCAAAGCCATATTCACCAGAGGCACAAGTTTATCAAGGGATGGACCTTCTAAAATAGAGCCAAAAGCATATGTTGAGGCTTCCCTTTGCCTCCAATCTGGTTTGGTTATATTATCTTCAATAAATGGCATAACCAAAGGTACAATATCATCACCAACTGTCCGGGCAACTAGTCCCAGACATGTACCTCCAGCCATAGCAATGTTCCACGCTCCTTCATCCTGATCTTGATCTTCTTCTTGTTTTAGAAGAGTCTCCAATAACATGGGAACCAGAAATGAAAGTGCCTGTTTAATAAAATAAAAGCAGGGAACATCTGAGTCCCCACTAAAATCACCTCCATATTCTTCTAATATGTCAATTTCTTCATCGCATATTGAACTCCAAAACTCAATTGCCTGAAGTGCAACCGGCTCTTCATCCTCTTTTACAGCCTTGGCAGTGATATTGAAGATGTCTTGAATATATTGAGCCAACTTCTCATAGTATGTAGAAGAAATGGCTACCAAGCACTCAAATGCAGCTCGTCGAATTCTCAATTCAGGAGATTGGGTGGTCTCACAAACAATTCTCATGATGTAATCACGCTCCATGTCATTAGAAAAATTTGCCTGAGCAAAACCCAAAGCATTATACAATGCTTTAATGGCAGCAAGCCTGACATCATTGTTTTCTTCAGTTGAATTCATTCCCTGAACAACTGCAGTAAGTATCTTATTTACATGATCCTGTTCTACTACATCTGGGGAAACTTCTTCACAAATGTATCCAAGGGTCTCGAGAGTTGCCTGTCTTGTAGGGGCAGGAAGCTGGTGGACATTGGACAAGAGGGATCCTATCAATTCAGGCCACTGTTTATGAGGCAGCTCAATGCCTGCAACCTTAGCAATAACTTGTGATGCAGTTGACCGAGCATCTAGTGAAGGGGAAGAAAGTGTCCTCAACAAGAATGCCTTAATCTGCGCTTTCAAAGTTGGGTCCAATGATAGCCATCTTTGAACAAATTCTATTTTCCTGTGCTGTTCCTTAGCGTCCAGAGCATTCTTGAGAATTAAACCTGCTAACTTCCGACTCTCTGCAGGTTTATCATCATTTGCCAATTCTCCAGCAAGAGAAAACAAGAAACTTGGAAGGTTTTGTTCCTGAAACTGTTTCAAGTTTTCCTCAGCTTGTTTCCTTAATGCACCATCCACTGCTTGTGCATTTAAAAGGATTTGAGTAACCTCCATAGCCATCTGAACCTGAAACATAAATAAAGGATCAAAGGGATGAAAATGTTGTCCACCAAAATATAACAACAAATTTAAGGGATGAAAGATATAACTTAACCAGATAACAATATACAAAATCCATGATTCAAAGGTCCTAACACAATGAAAAAAATACCAAAGAATATAAATAAGGTATGAATAGAAAAAGTTAATACATCCTTGAGAAAAAATTAAAAACAAAAATCTCAAAAAATAGTTTACATCAGAAATCCAATACAAGGCATTAACTACTGTTGCAACAAGTTTAAAAAAGAGGCAAGCTTCAGAAAGATGTAAATTTTAAAACAAGGTATTAACTAGTGTTGGGTAGCCTGACCTAACCCTCTTCTAAACCCTACATGTCACAGCATAAAGAGAACACAACAATAATAGATGTAAGACAATAAGAAATAATCCAAGAAATAACAATCCACAACCCCAATAATTGAAAATGGAGGACAACACATTCCTCAACATACAGCCTTTATCACACTAAAATACAACTAGAGGGAAGTCTCAGCCGATAGAAAATGCAAGAAGATAATAACTCAACATCCATTTGTCACATTTCCCCAACAGGGGAAACTAAACAGTGCAGCAAGAATACCGATTCAAATAAAAACCAGTTCAAATAAAATCAAAACGACAAAATACTAAAAAGGAAAGTTCAAAAAATTACTCTGAGCACAAAGTAAGCAAAAAATAAAAAAATCAGCGAACTGAAGTGAAAACACGATTAAACAAGTATCCTGGATCAGCACTAATGTACAGAAACAGAAAATAAAAGTTGTAATTAGGGATTAACAAGTAAGAGGAAATGGAGGAAGGGATAACTGACCTAGAGCAAGATGACGAGTTGAATCGGCGATGGAAAGGTGAAGAGGGAGTTGGGGCGAGTTGAAACAAGAAAGAGTGAGGGAATGAGCGGCGACTCTGAAACCCTAGCAGAGTGTGGGAAAAGGCAGAGACGCCAATATTTTAAGTTTTTGTGTGTTCAACACTTGCTTTTTTATATTCGCTGTACGACACACCAGGAGGGAAGCTAAACAATATCAGCCTTTGATTCAAATATGATTGATCTGGGCGCTACGATCTCTCTATCAACGGCTCCATTTTGAAATGCCTGCACGATCTTGATTTCATTTGGGGCCACGCGACACTGACCGCGCGTGTGTATGGTCTCCAGGTTCAAATCAATTGCCATATGATGTGAGTTATGGGTCGATTTTTTTTTTTTTTCTACACACCGTGTCAATGGGCTTTGCAGTAACTAGATTACGGGGTATTATAAACGTTATCATTATAGTTTATTATTTTATCAAATTAAACATGATATATATTAATAACAAATCATCAGAAATAAATTAATATTAATTATATTAAATTTTTAAAACAATTAAAATAACATAATCAATTATTAAATTTTAATTTCAATTAATAAATTATGTAGATAGCATTGACATATTCTATTTTTTAATAAGTTCAATGAACTTATACAGTTTATTTATGTTAATTAATTTAAAATTATAATTTATAAATAATATAAAAGCATACAATCATAGATTAGTTTTAAAATCAAGCATAAAAAAATATGTAATTGAATTTTATTTAATTTTAATTTAATTAAAATTTTGAACTTATATGTATATAATTTATTAATATAAATGAAAGGGGTAATAATTAAAACAATCAGACATATAAACAAATTATACAAAGGAATAGAATATTATTTAAAGATTTTAAGATTATATATTTCTAACTTTCTCTCGTTTATATATCATTTAAATTTATCAATTATATTTAACATTAGACTTAAAATTATATTTAAATTTTAATATTATATTTAACTTTAAATAGATAATATTATATTTCAATATAATAAATAATTACATTTTATTTTATTTTGTAATTATAAATTTGAATAAATTTAACAAAAACAGATTAAAAAATATAAAAAAATCATAATTTTAGTTTTTATATTTTGTATTCCCTTTTTAAGTATCTTAATTATTGGTTCTATTATTTGTTACATAGTATTAAGGTGAGCTAATACGAAGAAGGATAAACACTACCTGCCACGTGATAAGTTAAAAATAGACAAGTTCTTTTTTTTTCATTCAAATTTTTTGTAATTCTTTATAGTCTATTGTGGATTGAGTCAGTTTAATAGAAAAATATTTTAAAAAATTTAATCAATTAATTAATTTTTTAATTATATAACTTGAAATTCAATTTATCTCACTTGTTGTTCTGTTTTTAAAATTTAACCTATTACACACAAATTCATTTTACTATATACAATTTGCATTAAATATATTTATGCTAAAACCCTGGCTACTTGAATACATAAAATATTTGTTTTGGATAGTTTTTTCCTTTGTTATTTTTACAAAAAGATTCCCAACTTTTTTTCTCTAATAACACTCACCATCTATAATTAAACACTAAAAGATAAAATTATTAACTTTCAACTAAAAATAAAAGTTTTATGAATGTGAAATCATTCAACGATAAATGGTTAATAAAAAAAAAAGTATTTTTCATTACACGATTAGATTATTCACACACTTGTTATATTACAAGAAATATAAAGTTGAACACTAGTTCAACTTAGCAAAACAAGTTACAATCATCAAAAACTACAAAGTAATTTGGTTGATGCTATTATTAAAGACTTCAGAACCTGAATCAAATATGTTGAAGAAAACTGAACCAAATAAGTTAGAATTTTTTATTATTAAAAAATTAATAGTCAAATAGAAAAGTACTATATTTTATACTATAGTTTTGTTTTATTGTTAAAATCGATAAAATTGTATAATGTTTATATTGGTTATTCTTTGTATTTCATGTAAAGTTTTATTAATTACATTCCTAACTTAATTTTAATATAATACTAATTTAAAATAATGAACTTCTTGTTATGCACAAGGTAAAATGTTTAGGACATCTTTAAAATCATAAAATTGGAAACATGTCATTGTCTATGTAATATTGAAATTATTGTCACATTTTTCAATCAGATTAGCAATTTTTTTTTCATTACTCTTATTAGAAAAATGATTTTTTTTAAATAATTTGTGAAACAATTCATTATAGCATAAGGAATTAAAGAAATTATTTTAAAAAAATATTTGATTTATAAAAACGAAACAAAATTAATTGTCAGATTACAATTTCAATATTTTAAATATTTCCATATAAAATATTGTATCATCTAAAATAAAATAAAAAGACTAAAAGAATTTAATTTTAAAAAGTAAGAAAATGTTTTTTTAATAATTAATATATAAAAATGAAAAAGCAATTTCAATATTTTATAGCATAAAATATTTTCAAATTTTAAAATGAAATTCTAATATTTTTGAAAAATATAATTAACCTAAAATGTTTTTTTTTCTTAATAGATGATGATATAATATTGATTATTAAATTATAACCTAACGTTTAAATATTTTAAATCGATGTCTTAAAGCAATCTAAATTGTTTTTTTATCAAACAATTTTATTATAATTATAATAGTTCAAAATAAACTATTAATTATTTTTTAATATATTTTTCTTGAAAAAATAAGATAAATTGAACATTAGATATAAATATTAAAATTAAGATAAGTTAATATTGTAAACAAATTATGATTGAAAATAATTAAAATTTAAAATTTTGATTTTATTATTTAATGATGATAAACGTAAATTATTAATTTTCCAGTGTCATCATTATATTGTAATTATTAGTTAATTAACAATATTTGTTGGTTGTTTAGCTTTTTTATATTAATTAATTTAATGGGTGCTTAATACTTTTAATCTTAATTTTGGTGAAAATTTGTTTACCTATACTTCATTATTTTTATATATTCATATTTTGATATCATTTTTCTTCAAAAGTTAAATCAATTTTACTTGACTCATTAGTGTTGGAACTAAAACTGTTTTTATCCGTAAAAATAAACACTATAAATTTTTTAAAATAAGTTTAGTTTAAAACTTTGCACTTTTGTTCAAGTGATGATAAATATTAATTATTAAATTTTCACTATAAGTTCCATTTTGTAAGCTGTTAAATATTGTTTAGATATTATTTGATATTGTTAAAATATTGTTTATATATTATTTGATATTGTTAATATATTGTTAGATATTGTTTAGATATTATTTGATATTGTTAAGATATTAAACAATATCTTTTGTTTATTCGGTTACTTTCAGTTACTCTTTTAGTTGTATCTCTCTATTATAAATAGACTACCCTATGTGTGATTTATACACAAGGGAGATTAATCTCAAACTCTATTTCTTTTATATTCAACATGGTATATAGAGCTTAAGGTTATTTTAATTTTTTTTTTCGCCTTTGACCATTGTTGGAGCCGCCACCATCGCCGTTATCGCTGTCAGTTAAACTGATATTCCACATCAGAAAAAGTTATTTTTGTTATTGGATATTATTTGGTAGTGTGAAAGTGCATGTCTAAGAAGGTTCTGACAAGGAAAGACTTGGTATATAAGCGTGTCCATTGGTGAACCACCTCTCTTTCCTGGGAACTTACCTGGTGTACTGGTTCACACCGCTGTCACTATCGCCTCCGCCTTTTATGACTTCTTCCGCTACTAAGTTATTATACACCAATGATACCCAACGTCTTTATGATGTCTGTTCTAAATTTGTAGATGTTATTACCTCTAAACATCAAGATTCTATGACTGATTATATGGGCAAAATTCATGCTCTTTTTCATGAGTTCAATGGGTTATTGCCTCCTTTCCCCGACCTTGCCACCGAGATAACACAACGATCAAAGTTCTTCATGCTAGGGCATTACACGGACTTGCTGATCAATATTCACATATTCGTGATCAGATTTTGGGTTCTCCGATTGTCCTCACCTTGACATCGACCTGCTCTACTCTTTTACGTATACCAACAAAACTCAACCCTGACATAACTGCTTCTGTTAATGATTCTTCTACATTGGTATCTCACCGCGATAACCGAACTCACCCTCGCAAACAGGGAAAAGGGCGTCCTACGTGTGAACATTGTGGCAAGCTAGGTCATAAGATTGACCAGTGTTATGCATTACATGAGTGTGAACATTGTGGCAAGCTAGGTCACAAGATTGATAAGTGTTATGCATTACATGGTCGTCCTCCTCGATCTGCTGCAGTTGGTCAAACTGATCTTTCCCCACCTTTATCTGCTAAGGATCCTCCTTCTTCTATTTCATCAGACACACATGTTATGTTCAACAAATTTCTCAAATGGTATAAGGATCAACAGTCTTCTAGTTTCATTGTGTCTGTTGCACACACAGGTACATCTTTTGTTGGTCTGACCCAATCTTCTTCTGGTCCTTGGGTTTTTTATTCAGGAGTCATTGATCATATTACTGGTAACAAATCTTTGTTCTCCTCTTTATCCTCTCCTAATCCTTTACCTTCTGTTACACTAGCTGATGGCTCTAGAGTATCATCTCATGGTGTTGGAACTGTTAAACTTTTTCCCTCTTTAATCATTGATAATGTTATTTATATCTCTGGGTCTCCTTTTAACTTGTTATCCATCAGTCGTCTAACTCGTTTTCTTGATTGTGTTGTTTCTTTTACCAACAATTTTGTGTGTTTACAGGATCGAAGTTCGAAACAGGTGATTGACATAGGATGTGAGTCTCATGGTCTTTATCATCTTCGTCCCTTTACACATGTTGGTGCAGTTATAGAGTCTCCCTCTCTTCTCCATGCTCAGTTAGGTCATCCAAGTCTTGCCAAGTTACAACAGTTTGTCCCTGTCTTATCTAAGTTGTCTAGTTTGGCATGTGAGTCGTGTCAATTAGGCAAACATAGTCGTACTTCCTTTCCTCGTAGTGTCACACGTGGTGCTTCATTCCCTTTTGCTGTGGTTCACTCTGACATTTGAGGACCTAGCCGCGTTAAGTCTACTTTAGGTTTCCAATACTTTGTTACTTTCATTGATGATTATTCCTGATGCACTTGGTTATTTTTGATGAAAAATCGTTCTGAATTATTTCATATCTTTCAAATTTTTTTCAATGAAATTCAAACTCAGTTCGATATTTCTATTAGAGTTTTGCGCAGTGATAATGGTCGTGAATATCTTTCTCGTTCTTTTAAATAATTCATGGCTTCTCATGATATTTTGCATCAAACTTCTTATGCTTATACACCTCAACAAAATGGTGT